GCACGGCTGCTTGTCGCTTGCCGAAAGCTGTGTTTGTGCTGCTGGCTGGCGCTTGCAGCCTTGGGGGGATCTGGGGAGCAGCTGCAGGCCCTGCTCTTGCTGCGTCCCTGGAAAAATATGAGGCGGAGAAACCTCCTTCTGCAGCGGGGAGCAGGAGGGTGGAGGTGGCCTGACTGTCCTTTGCCTGCTTCGGTTATTCTCCCAAACAGGAGAACTCTTCCTCTAAAGCATCATCAGGCAGCAGCCATCATCCCGCTCCTCTGCGGCTTTTCATGGGGAGGGGGGCTGAGACCCCTGCCCATACCCGTATCTGTCCACACCTTATAAAGAAACCAGCTCCTGGGGCTTGACGAGGCCTTGGGGGGGAGGGGGTGACATTTCTGTGTGCTCTGTCCTGCAGCTGAAGCACATGAAGGAGCTGGAACAGGAGAAGGATTTCCTGCTGCAGGGTCTGGAGCTGATAGAGCGTGCCAGGGAGTGGTACCACCAGCACATCCAGTTCATGCAGGAACGCCAGAGGCTCCTGGGGAAGAACAAAACCACTGCTGTGAGTCTGGGGCTTGTTCTTGGGTTGCCCATCTAGCTTGGGAGGGTCTGGGGCTGCACTGTGGGTTTGGAGAACCGGGCTGGGACTTGGCTGGACCTGGAGCCAGCCCCATGGTAACCTCCAGCCTCTTCTTCCTTCTTGTCCCCCAGGAATTCTTCCCTGAGGGTGGCCAGAGCCACCTGGGGCTCCTGGTCCCCAAGCTGCAGGAGGTGAACCGCTGCCTGGGTGACCTTCTTTCCACCGCCGGCAAGGTGAGAGCAGTGGGTTGGCAGCTGGTGGTTGTTTGTGTGACCTTGAGACCCATCCTGTCTGCCCCCATCATGGTGCTGGGCTGACATCAGAGCTGGGCTCTGGTGAGGTGATTGGGCTCCATGAGCAAGACAGGGGATGGGGGACGGCCAGGAGGACAGCGCAGCTGGTCCCGAGCTGGGCTGAAGGATGCTCAAGGTATTTGGGAGACTAAAGGAGATCCCCCAAAAGATGTAGCCATTGTCAAGTGAATAAGGAAACCATCCTGCTGAGGTGCTGAGTCAGCCCTCTTGGTGGTGGCTGTCCTGCGGGGCTCCTTCCCACCTCTGCCTGCCCTGCTGGAGCCCATGTGCTGGGCTTCCCTGGGTTCCCTGTGTGCCACAGAAACAGCTCCGCGCCTTGCAGAAAGGCTGGAGAGGCCACCTGGAAGGAGGCCAGGCTCGCCCCACTGCAGGGGGCGGTCGAGGGAGGTGAATCTTTTGTGGTTCCCTGAAAAGGAGCAGCAACTCCTTTTTTGTGGAGTCAATGACTCAAGGAACAACACAACAGAATTTTATGTAATTACCTCTGCGACTCCTAAAACATTATGGATCAACTGCTCAGCGTCAAACACCAACTAACGCTTATCAGTTATCAGCACATAACACTTATCCAGTATTTGGAGGTAAAATCAGACAGAAAACAGAGCAGGAAAGAGTTGAGAGAGAAGACAGAGGGGGGGCAGAAAGAGAGAGAGAGAGTGACAGAGTGACAAAGAGGCAGAGAGATATCACCACCCCTTTCGTTCCAGCGTCGAAGTCCTGTACAGCAGGCTCAGGGGGAATCTTGATCCGGGGCTGTTGGGTCAACAGAGCATAGGTGGTTGTGCTCACCTTTAGTACAGTTCTGTCTGTCCAGGACCACCCCACCTTTGGGGGGGGCTGCGGGTTCCCTGCTGGGCAGACAAGCCCCAGCAGCCCTGTACAACCTCAGCAGCTATGCGTGTCACTCCAAATGTTAACAGCTTGGTACTGTCCCATCACAAAAGAACTTTGTCATCTTGTGAGTTTTCGTAGGCATCTCAGAGCCTTCTCTGAATACATGGTCTGCCGGAGTTGTTTGGGACAAAAACAGATGCTTAGGAGTCTCTGACAGGCCCAATGTCTCATACCTTCCCTTCTTCCCTGCAGCCAGCAAACCCCTCTGTGGCTCTGGGCAGGCTGGTCCCTGCTGCGTCCTCAGCCTCAGCAGGCTCCCAGCAAGCCATCAACATGCTGAAGGAGCAAAACCGCCTTCTCACCAAGGTGAGTGGGGAAAGGGGGGAGGAGATCCCCTTGCAGGTGCTGGGAGAGGATCCGGGTGTGGGATGGCGCTGGGGAGGGATTAGGAGGCAGTGGAAGGTGTTCCTTCAGCTTGGCCAACCTTGGTCATCCCAAAGAATGCACCTGGGCTGCGGGCTGCACCTGGAGACCCCCATCATGCCGCTGTGGCCAGCTGTTTGTTGGGGGGGGGTCCATGGGCAGGGATGGCGCATCCCTGCCGGAGGGACAAGACTGAGAGAGGCAGGTCACGAGAGGGTGCGGGCGCTGGGCTGGGGTCTGTGGGCAGGGCACCTGTGATGCCTCTGTCAGGGTTGGGCTCATGGCTGTGGTTCACATCCCAGCAGGCGCCAGCATTTTCCTCCTCTGAGCAGCGTTTTCCTGCTCTGTCCCATGCAGGAGGTGACCGACAAGAGCGAACGCATCACCCAGTTGGAGCAGGAGAAATCTGCCCTGATCAAGCAGCTCTTTGAGGCTCGTGCCCACAATAACCACGAAACGAGCCAGCTGGACTCCACCTTCATCTAGCCCTTGTCTCCCCACTCCCCATCCTTGAGCTTCCCCAGGGGTTTCGTGGGACTCTTGCCCAAAACCCATTGCACCTATTGCTCCAGGTGTCGTATCTCAAGGCCTGGAGCTGCCGGTGGCATCTCTGCAGGAGGAAGCTGGGAAGCCGCTTCCACGACCCTGCCTGGGGAGCATCCCCCCGACTGCTCTGCTGCTGGGCTTTGCAGCCATGCTGCCCTCAAGCTGCTCCTTTTCTGTCTCTAAACAGACTGCAGGGGCTGTACCCCAGCCCCATGATCCCCAGTGTGCTGGGGGAAACAGCTGCTGCCTGTGCTGCCTGTGTCGGGATGAGCTGCTGTGCCCTTGACCTGACTTGGGCTGAATTTTGGATGCTCTCGGAAAAAGATGATGCATCTTCAACACTCCAGTGGACATCTCCAGGCAAGCCTGGCCTGTCCCCTGCTTGTCTCACTGTCAGAGGGCAAGACTGAAATCCCAGTGGGGCATGCCTGGCTCCTTTCTGCTGCCTGCCAGTGACACTACTGGGCCAGGGCAGTGCCCAGGCTGGCGCTCCTCCTGGGCTGATCCCTCTTTCCAGTTTGCGGTAGTGATGCCATAGTCACTGTTTACATGTCTTCAGGCTCCTGTAGTTAGTGAGCCATGGACCCAAGTGAGGTTGCCTGTACCTCTGAGCTGCTGTTTCAGGCTGTGTGTAGATTGAGGCAGACAAGATTTAGGACAAGTTTTTATATTTAGCAGGAGGTGAGTGACAGAGCAGAGGCTGATGGGCTCTTTCCTTTGCACATCTCCAAGTGGAGAACTGGTAGCTTTGCCTGACCTGGTGGTGTACACTGGCTCCCAGGGTGACATCCCGAGTGTGAACTGTGCCCCTCTCCAGGTCTCTTGGGGTGGGTGGTGGTGGTCTAAGCGTGGGTCCTGTTAGTCTGGTGCATTTTGGGACACCTCCTCCTTCCCATCCAGCTTGGAGGTGATGCTTGAGCTCAACGAGGGCTTGGTACTTAGTATTTATAGTACTTCCATAGGAGATCCTTGTGAATCCCCACGTAGCACAGGCCCAGCCCTCTGTAGCTCCAGGACCAGGACCTTTCTCTCCAGGGCTGTTTTATGCTCTGACTCTCCTGGCACGGTGCTGTGGCACAATGCACTGAGCTGGGCAGGAGGCGCTGGACCTGCCCTGCCCAGGGCTGGGCACCATGCAGAGCAGTTCCTTTCTCACTCCTGTTTGGATCTGTCCAGTGCTCTCTGTCCTATCCAGCTACTCTCTTTGAGGTCGATCTCCACCTGAAGCTCGCTGCAAGGTGTGAATCTGTGCTCTGCCCTGTGCCCGCTGTCCTGTGCAGGAGCAGGGAGCAGCAGAGTGCTGGGGAGAGGGAGGAGGAGGAGGAGCAAGGCCATGGCTAGCCGTGTCCCCTGGCTGCAGGAGTAGGGTGTTAGTTGTCCCCTGGGCATCGGTGCTTGCCACCTCTTTCATGATGGCACCTCTGGTGTGCAGTGCTTGTTTTGCCTGAGGTTTAGTTAAAAGCGACCCTCTTTATGAGGAGGGTCACCTGTCTGTAGGGTTAATAAAGTGGGATGAACTATTTAATTTATCCTTCTATCTCTCTGCCTAAATCAGCCCATCTGCTGCTGCGAGCCTTGAAATTCCTGACTGTCCGGTGCCCCGGGATGCGGGTGAGCTGAGGCTGCACAGTCACAGCCTGAGCACGAGGAGCACAGGGGGTCTCTGCTCCAGGCCATGTCCCCATGCCCTTTCCTGTCCCCTCTGGGCTTCCCGGTGCTCTGGGACTGGGGAACCCCTCGTTTCCCCTCCCCACTGTGGGGTAATGCACCCTTCCCGTGCACCCGGCTGCTCCTCCAGAGGCTGGGCTGGGAGCTCGCACTGCTCAGGTAGTGCTGGTGTAGCTCACAAGCTCTGATTTCTTTCTAAGCCCCCTCCCTCGGGGCTGGCCCTGTGGCTTGGGCAGCAGTGGCCCTGGGGCTCTGTGGGGGCAGCCGGGGGGGCCCTTGCTGGCACGGTGCACCACGGCGTCTGTCCCTCTGCCCCACACTGGGGTTGGCAGCACCTGCTTGGGACCAACGTGGGGCTCTGCGCCAGCCAGAGGCACCTTCCTGAGCCCCTCGGGCTGTGGCGGGCGCTGGGAACCCCCCCACCCTTTTTTTCTCTGGGGCTGAGGGCCCCCTGCCGGGAGCAGAGCCGGGAGGGGACCCAAGCTGCGTCCCTGCAGATGGGAGAGGGATCTGTGCTGCGGTGTCTTTTGAGTGGATGAGTCCTGGAGAGGCCTTGCAAAGGAGAGCAGGTCATTGTCCCAGCCTTGGCTGCTCTGCGCAGCCAGGGCAGCTCCCCCCACTGCTGCTGCTGCTTCGGCCCAGCCCTGCTGTGGGGTGGCGGTGGAGCTCCAGAAGCACCGTGGGCCTGTGGGGACCCAGGACCCCCGGGAGCTGCAGGGCTGGCCCCCAGCTGCTGCTGGGCCCCTGATGGGTCCAGCCCGGGCCTGACCCTCACCCGTATGTCTGGGCTGTGTCCCCTCCGGCACCCTCAGTGGTTGGGGCA